ATCTTTCTTATTTTTTAATGTAAGTATTTATGATTTATAGCTATAAGTTTCACACTTAACACTGGTTTTGCTGCATCCGATAAGTTTTGGTATGTTGTTTTTATTTTTGTTTTCATTTATCTCTAAGTATTTTCTAATTTCCCTTGTAATTTCTTCTCTGATCCATGGGTTGTTTGAGTGTGTTGTTTAATTTCTACAAACTTGGGAATTTTCCAGTTTTATTTCTGTTGTTGATTGCTAACTTTATCTTGTTGTGATTGGAGAAGACAGTTTGTGTGAAATCTGTCTTTTTAAATCTCTTGAGACTTAATTTGTGGCCTAATGTATGGTCTGCCCTGGAAAATGTCCCATGTTCTCTTGAGAAGAATAGGTACGCTGTTGTTACTGGGTAGAGTGTTCTGTCTATGTCTGTTAGATCTAGCTGATTTATCGTGTTAAGTTCTCTCTTTCCTTACTTATCTACTGTGTGGTTGTTCTCTCCATTATTGAGAGTGGAATAGTGAAGTCTCCAATTCTTATTGTAGCACTGTCTCATTCTCCCTTCAGTTCTGTCAATTTTTGCTTCACATGTTTTGCTCGTCTGCCATTAGTTGTGTAGAAGTTTATCATTGTTATATCTTCTTGCTGTATTGAGCCTTTTATCAATATATAATATCCTTATTTATCTCTTGTAACCTTCTTTGAATTACCCCTACTCTCTTTTGGTTGCTATTTGCATGGAATATCTTTTTCCATCCTTTCACTTTCAATCTATTTGTGTCTTTGGATCTAAAGTGAGTCTCTTGTAGACAAAAGAGAGTTGGATCATGTGTTTTTATCTATTCTACCAAACTCTGTCTTTTGGTTGGAGAGTTTAATCCACCTACATGTAATGTAATTAATGATAAGTAATTACTTATCATTAATTACTTCTGCCCCTTTGCTATTTGTTTTATATATGCCTGATAGTTGGTTATCCCTCATTTTCTGCCTTACTGTCTTCTTTTGTGTTACATTAATTTTTGTGTTAAGTGAAATGTTTAAATTCCTTTTTCAGTTCCTTTTGTGTACATTCTTTAGCTATTTTCTTTGTGGTTACCATGGGGATTACATTTAACATCTTGAAGTTATAACACTCTAATTTGAATTTATACCAGTTTAACTTCAATAATATACAAAACTCTGATTTTTTACAGCCCCATCCCCATCACTTTGTCACAAAATTACATTTTTATACATTGCATACCTCAAAACGTAAACTAATAATTCTTTTAAATGCATGTCTCTTGAGTTATGTAGAAAACTGCATATGGAATTACAAACCAGAGTTACAATTGCACTACCTTTTAGACTAATAACTTAAAAAATACATTATTCTCTTAAATTATATGGAAAATTAAAGGTGAAGTTACAAACCTTTGTTACAGTAATACTAGCTTTTATAATTGCCCATGTGTTTACCTTTATTGAGATCTTTATTCTTTATATGGCTTTGAGTTACTGCCTGGTGTCCTTTCATTTCACCCTGCAGGGCTCCCTTGAGCATTTCTTCCAGGGCAGTTCTCGTGATAATGAACCCCGTCTTTTGTTTATCTGAGAATGTCTTAATTTCTCCCTCACTCTTGGAGGACAGTTTGCCAGATATTCGATTGATTGACAATTTTTTTTCTTTAAGCACTTTGAATATATTGCTCCACTTTATTCTGGCCTCCCATGTTTCTGATGAGAAATCTGATAATTTTATTGAGGATCCCTTGTATCTGGTGAGTTGCTTCTTTCTTGCTAATTTCAAGATTCTTTATCTTCAGCTTTTGGAAGTTTGATCATACTATGTCTCAGTGTGTCTCTCTTTGAGTTCTCTTTCTTGGAATTCGCTTAGATTCTTAGATGTTTATATTCATGTTTTTCATCAAATTTGGGAAGTTTGCTTTCTTTTTTTATTTTATTTTATTTTATTTTTTCCAAAGATTTTATTTTTTTCCTTTTTCTCCCCAGAGCCCCCTGGTGCATAGTTGTATATTCTTTGTTGTGGGTCCTTCTACTTGTGGCATGTGGGACGCTGCCTCAGCGTGGTTTGATGAGCAGTGCCATGTCCGTGCCCAGGATTCGAACCAACGAAACACTGGGCCACCTGCAGCGGAGCGTGTGAACTTAACCACTCGGCCACGAAGCCAGCCTCCTCTTTTTTTATTTTTAGAGGAGGATTGGCCCTGAGTTAACATCTGTGCCACTCTTCCTCTATTTTATGTGGAATGCCACCACAGCATGGCTTGATGAGCCGTGCTAGATCCACGCCCAGGATCCGAACCTGTGAACCCTGGGCTGCTGAAGCGGAGAGCATGAACTTAACCACTATGCCACTGGGCTGGCCCCCAAGTTTGGGAAGTTTTAAGTCATTATTTCATTAAATATTCTCTGATCCTTTCTCTCTTTTCCTTTTGAGACTTCCACAGTGTGTATATTGGTCCTCCGTTGATGGTGTACCACATGCTGTGTTCACTTTTCTTCAATCTTTTTTATTTCTGTTCCTCAACTTGGTAATTTCCATTGTCCTGTATATAAGTTCACTGACTCTTTCTTCTGCCTGCTCACATCTGCCTTTGAATCCCTCTAGTGAATTTTTCATTTCAGTTATTGTACTTTTCAGCTCCAGAATTTCTTTTTGGTTTCTTTTTAGGTTTTCTGTCTCTTTATTGATATTTTCATTTTGTTCATACATCATTTTCTTGAATTTCTCTACATCTTCCTTTAGTTCTTTGACATCTCTAAGATGATTGTTTTGACATCTTTGTCTAGTAGAACTGCCATCAGGTCTTTTTCAGGAACAGTTTCTGTGGATGTAATTTGAATGGGCCATACATTCTTGTTTCTTTGTATGTCTCTGATTTTGTTGTCGTTGTTGAAACCTGAAAATAGGAATCTTATAATTAGTGACTCTGGAAATCAGATTCTCTTCCTTTGCTGGGGTTTGCCGGTTTTTGTTACTGCTTTTGTTTTTTTATTGTAGTAGGCTGTCTCTGCACAAAGGCTCAGCCTGAGGTGTAAATTGAAGGTCTTCTCAGGTCTTTTTTGAGCCTGCACCTTTCCCTAGTGTGCACAGTCACTTTCTAAGTTTCGCCATATATGCAGTTGCTTTTGAATGTCCTAGTCTTGAATGTCTGGCTCCCAAAAGGAGAAAAAGAGAAAAATAAAAGATGTGGGGAGAGGGAAAGAGTGCTGGCCCTTTAAATCCCCTGGAAGTCACTTCAGCCAGAGGGGGAGGAGCTTGCAACAGTAGAGGGGGGTGGAACAACAATGGCCACCCTCCTGTTTGTCTGCACCTCTGTGATTAGAAACAGCAATCCGTGATTAGAGCACAGATCCCTGATGTTTGGAGGACAGGGTCCTTTTTGCCTGCCCTGGCTCTCCCAAACTGTGTGCAAGCTTCTGCAGGAACACTTACTTGCACAGCTACCTGCCAAGGGCTAAAGGATGGGTAACTGCTACTGTGCTAAGAACTGAAATGGACTGAAATTAACCACAATTTACCATCTAAGCCTTCCCCTGGAAGTTCCAAGCCTTCTATTGACTTCAGAGTTCCATAATATTAAATTAGATAGATTCTGCTGGTGTAATTGTTGTCTAGGTAGGGAGACAGATTTCTGGTGCTTCATATTCTGCCATCTTCCCAGAATCCGCTGACTCAAGTCTTTTTTAAGCCTCTTTCCAGCACCCACTTTAGTCAGGTAGAGTAGTCAGCTATTCTCTTCCATCTCTTCAACATATTCCCCTTCTCTCTCTTACCTTCTCCATTTCTTTTTTCTTCTAATTCAGTGAACTTTTTTTTTTTTAACCTTTTGGAGGTCATGGGTTCTTTTAAGAATTTGAAGAAAAGTTCCTATGGACTGTCTCCCTAGAAAAATCCATATAGAAAATCCATATAGAAAAATCACTGAAAATAAGCAGACAATTCAGGGGTCTATAGATGCCTTGAAATCCCACCATGGCCCTCTTGAGTAGAGTCCCTACTATACGGATGTGTCTCTGTCATCTTCCATTGGCACTGTGGGCAGAAGATGTTCTACCCTGCAACCAGATGCTTACTAGGAGACTGGTGAATGGGAAGTGCCCTCTCACAGATTTGTAGGAAATCTCTGAATACAGCTAGAAAAGCCTCTCCCCCAGAATATGACATCATGATACCATTTCCATGTTTATCCAACTGACATGTTTATCCAGTGACACTAAACGTATACATGTATGAGGTAGTTATTTGTATCTTACAGTACAAACTTGTGATTGCCACTCATTTGGAGCATATACAGATGACAGGCTAGTTTAAGTGAAGACACATTTGAATTAATCAAACATACATCTGTGTATTTGTGTGTGTGTGTGTGTGTGTATGTGTGTGTGTTTTAAACCCGGTTTCTCTTCAAGTGTGTACAGTAGTAAGACATGATGTATATGTGCCACTAGTGATAATAACAGCCAGCTATTTTCTAGATAGACCTTCTTTTGGATCTGTTTTTACACTTTAAAAGCACTTATTATTGCCATATTAATTACTGGTGTACAGAAAGTGCTGTAAAAGGAGTCAAGAGAACAGTCTGTTCCTTTAAGGTTAAGTGTTCCTTTGGCAAGTGTGTTGAAATTCTAAATCTGGTTAGTAAACTGTTATATAGAGGAGATACCACGGTGTACTTAATGCTGACTATGGATTAGAGCATCCAGCTTGATAGGGTTAAAAAGTTTAAAAACAAAGCAAATAATGAAACAGTGTTCTGTCATGGGTAATGTTTCTGGAGTGGCCCTTGCAGAAGGACAAGCACTTCCTGATCCCCTGGACTGACTGTGGTGTACAGCCTGGTAGGTGGTGTAGACTTTTCTTGGCCACATGGACCCAGAAGCAGTGCCTATGAAGGATTGTTCCAGAGGTTCCTTATGTCCAGGGTTTAGGCATGCTCCAGAGCAGACAACCAACAAATCCATCTTAAATGATATTTTTTGAATTTTATTTTCTTTGCAATTAAAATCACCAGTTGAATCTTCCAAGGAGGCCGTGTAGGTGGAAATCATCTTGAGTAACTGCTAACAGGAGTTGGATTTAAACTGACAACTTAAAAATAAAAGGCTCGTATCTGCCGAACTTCTCTCCAGCCTGGTAAGTTGGATTTCAGTGTGAAATCACGTATGGTTAAATCATGGTGCGTGCATGTGGTCAGTGCTGCTTTTCTTTTACGTGGTCCTGTTTATTTAAAAACTTGAAAACGAGAAGTTGTTTTGCTCACTCACTTGGGGTTTATTATAAAGCTCAGATGCCAGAAAAAGAAAGGACTGTTTTTGTGCTGCGAGTGCGTGAAGTGGACCACGAGTGAACCGGAGGAGGCATGGTCATGGTGCTTTTTTCCTTCTGCCCAAAGAAGGAAAGCCCTAATGGTCAACAGATGGCGTTTGGAGACGTCTGGGGTTTTGAAGGCCTTGGTGAAGGTGCCACAAATGGTGTCAGATGCAGTAATGCCAAGCATACGTTTTCGCTCTTATTCCTTGGCAGTAATAAAAATAAGGCTAGAGAGAAGGAAAAAGCTGGAGAGAAAGGTGGAAATTGTGTTGTGTTGGTAGATGACCATTTGTTATAAAAAGGGTCAATTTGACAACCGTGGAAAAAAAAGTGTTGCTTTGCCCTGCTCTATGCAGTATGGCTTCGTGAGTGAAGACCTCATTCTCAGACTACCCAGGGAGTAGCAATGTAGCATCGACAGCAGCTGAGCGGGCCACACAGTCACACAGCCAACACCCGTGGAGTCATGGAACCATCGCCCAGACAGACACTTCCAGGGAGGCTGAGTCCCTCTTGATCTGCAGATGAGGAAATGAGGGGGCCCAGAGAGAACACGTGACTTGCCGAAGATCATACAGTTGATCTGTGACAGGGATATGTAATTTTCTTACAAAAGGGAGAATTTAACCACAAAAAAAATTATTACAAAATTGTCCTAATCTGCCAAGTTCATTTATTTTTTAACTGAGACTTAAATCCTTCTAAGTGCAGTTCGGTTATCTCCAGAATCCTCCAGAACTCCCCAGACTGGGCCAAGGGCTCTTCCTCCTACAGTACCCCCTGCATCTCTCTTCCTTAACTCTTGTATTTTGTAAAAATTATCTGGTCATGTTTTTGTTTATAAATCCTTCAGGCATATTCATCTTTATGGTTTATTTCGTTTGATTCTTCTTTGTACTTTATAGGCATGGAGTAACTACAAGCAGTATTAACAACTCCCGCCCCATTGTTGTGACAGCTTTTTAATGACCCTCTGAGAGCACTCTATGTTAATTATTATAGTGGGCCTGGGCGGTGGTATCTGCAAGGAGGTTGTCGCAGGTCAGAGCATATAGTCTGTGGGCATTTCAATGATCTGACAGTGGAGAGCTGTTCTGAGCCAGGTTGACACTATCAAACAAACTTGGGTGGGGTCGGGGGGCCCACACTGTTGATATTAGTGTGATGGCCAGCTGGAGATAAACAAAGGACCCTTTGTTCTACTAGTGGCTAAAACATTATAGGAATGAGAATGGAATAACCTTTATGAACCTTAAATTGCACCGCTGGACAAATAGGAGCTGTTAACATAGACAAGAACCTGAAGCCTTAGTGTTAGTGAGTTTCCAAGTTTGATTCATTGCATTAAATTTACTTTTTCTCTTAAAAAATACATCAAATATACAAACAAGTATAGAGAATGGTATTTTGAACATCTGTGTACCCACCAGTCAGCTTTATTAAACCTTAACTTTTTGATATTTTCTATTCTCTTCCTTTCCTATCCAGAGGCAGCTATTACAAATTTTGTGTTTATTACTCTGAGATTCTAAATTTGGTTCTTTGGGCCCCCCCTCAATGCGAGGGCTTCTGTGTAATGGGATAGGAGCTGTGTCTTGTAGCAGTAAAATCATAGTTTTGGATCCACTGTGAGACTATGATAAAGATTTGAAATGCGGCAATGAGATCAGTCAGCAGAGCCAAGATCCCTCAGACCCTGGATTCTTGACCAGTTGGGATTTCCCCAAGGGACGAGGAGGGATGGTGATCCCTGAAAGTCACTCATCAAGAAACAATTTGAGGAAATGTATGGTTTAGAGGTAGTGCTTTTCAGACATTTTTGATTGTAACCCACAAGAACAAATAAATTTTGCATTGTGACCCTTGACATCTATACATGTACACATACACATAAACCTCTGAATGAAAAGTTTTAATGAAATAATACTTATTCTTTCTCTGTTAGCTGCACTACACTGTAGTTTATTTTACTGTTTTTGCAACCACTGTTTTGTTCTAATAAATTGAATTCACATGCTGTTCATAGATAGGAACCCACAGTTAAAATAACAACAAACCCTGGTTTAGAGAACTGTTATTTGTTTCATGGAGCAAAAGTTTTTTTAAAAAGTATATTTAATTTAACTTTGCTGAATATTTTTATGAAAAGCCTTTTTCTACCACTGACCTAAGCTTAAAGATTTATGCCACAATTTACAAATAGCAGATCCAATGTAAAAGTAAGCAGAATCAAAGCTCTTGGGGGTTCAGATTATTCTGTATGGTGTTGCTTCTCCCAACCCTCTTCAGCCATTGCCTTAAGGTAGCCTGTCTCGATTAAGTAAACAGAACTTGAACACAGTGACTTAACTATACTTTATAAGTTCATGATTGTTAAGCCACAAAATCAACCTTTCCAAATAAAACTGAGTGTAAGTCAAACTGCCAAGTGAAAAAGAACAGCTATCAAGCTCTCAGCTCTCCTTTTCTTCAGAGTTTACCCCTATACAATGCTAAGTAAAGTCTATATGAGGAATAAAGTGATATGTGTTGCTTTATATTTATTAAATGTCGTCAATTTTTGTGTAACCGGGCTGTCCTCCTCCTCACGTGAGGTGCCTGATAATTATCACAATAGCAGGGGTTTATATGGCACTTTCGTTCAAAGAAGTTTATATAATTGGGCTCAGAAAAGTGAAGCTTTCCTGCCAGGGAAGCAAAAGAGAAAATTACATTGAATGCATATGAAACAAGCAGTTGTTGGAGATTATAAGCAAGATGGATTCCAAGATAGTAAATGAGTCAGCTTGCTCCAAAATGTTACCAACAGCCACTTTAAACATTAATAAGGTAGCTGGTTTCTAAAATCTGGAACAAGGAGAGGGTTTTGTTTAAGCCAGCTGCTTCAGAGAAGAGGAAATGCAGTGCTACCTCAGGAAACTTAAATGGGACTGTTGAATAACTGGGAAAGAACCTCTCTTTTGGATGAGTGGGCAAGGAAGAATTCAACTGATTTTCTGGCAGAATAACAAAGGTGACAGCAGTACTTTTTTCGTGTACGCATTTATGTGTGCGACCACGTGTGACTTCTAGAAAAGCAGTTCTCAAGCTTTTTGGTCTCATCACCCATTTCTACTTTTAAGAATTATTGAGAACTCCAGAGAACCCTTTCTTATGTGGCTTACATCTATCAATTTTTACCATTTTAGGAATCAAAACTGGGAAACTTAAAAATATTTGTGGATTCATTAGAAGACAGTAATAAACCCATTATATATTAGCATAAACATTCTTATTTAAAAAACTGTATTTTCCCGAAAAATTAGTGAAAAGAGTGTTATTGTTTTATATCTTTGCAAATCTCTTTAATGCCTCTTTAAATAGATGACTTGGATTCTCATATCCTCTTCTGCATACAGTCTGTCATGATATGTTGTTTGGGTTGAAGTACATGAAGAAAATCTAGTGTACACAGATATGTAGTTGGAAAAGAAAGGACCTTGCAGCTCCCCGTTAGGGACTCTGAGACTTAGAGGGTCCTTGGGTCACACTTTAAGAGCCCCTGTCCTATAAAGTATTGTGGAAGAACATGTGAGTGGTGACAGTATTAGTGATGCTAATTTCTTTCTTTGTCATTTATGTTGTTGTATTATATTATATTACCATGTTTTCTACAATAAAGGTAGATTACTTGTACAAACAATACATGAGAAAGGAGGAAGCATGAGCATGTTGAGGAAAGATTATAGAGGCCCTAAAAACCCAGGCAGAGAAGTTTATACTTGGGAAACCAAGGAGCCACTGTAATTTCTTAAACAGGAAAATGACTTGTTAGAATTCGTATGTGGGAGTGAAAAGATTCCAACTGGAAGAAAGGGGCCGCTTCAGAGGTGGCTGCAGTAATGTAGGGGAGTCATGAGGTGGCCTTGGCCTCAGGCATTGGTGGAAATGGAGAGACACGTTCAAAACCTGAGAGAAATTTTGAAGGCAGAAATACTAAGACTTGGATATGGGGAATAAGGGAGTGGGAGGAATCAAAGATGACTAGGAGTTTTCCAGTCTAAAATATTTGAAGAACATTTTCTCTCTCATATCCAACTTTAACCTTTTCTGAAAATTATCCTGATTAAACTAAGGAAGTCTTGTCTTGTTTTTCACAGTTGGCCAGCCCGTTGCAGGGCTTAGGAGAAAGTCAACACACGTCCCAACCTGAATTGTTCAGTTACTTCCAGAAGAAAAGGAAGACCTATGACACCCCTGAAGAGTTTGTACCTATGACATCCCTGGAGAGTTACTTGCTGCTTCCTTCCCTCAGGCCCCACAGGCAGTGAAGGGCTGTCTGTCCAGTTCCTGTTTGCACTGGACGCCGGTGGTTCACCTCTTATGCACTCCAGCACCCCCATCAGCTCCCTCTTCTCCTTCACCAGCCCGGCAGTGAAGAGACTGCTAGGCTGGAAGCAAGGAGATGAAGAGGAAAAGTGGGCGGAGAAGGCGGTAGACTCCTTAGTGAAGAAATTAAAGAAGAAGAAAGGAGCCATGGACGAGCTGGAAAGGGCCCTCAGCTGTCCGGGGCAGCCCAGCAAATGTGTTACGATTCCCCGGTCCCTGGATGGCCGGCTGCAGGTGTCCCACCGCAAGGGGTTGCCCCATGTTATTTATTGTCGAGTGTGGCGCTGGCCCGACCTCCAGTCTCACCACGAGCTGAAGCCGCTGGAGTGCTGTGAGTTCCCGTTTGGCTCCAAGCAGAAAGAGGTGTGCATTAATCCCTATCACTACCGCCGGGTGGAGACTCCAGGTGAGCTTCCTTCATGATGTCATGGTTTATTTTAGAAGTTAAGGAGGTACGTCCCAGTTGATGGAGAGTGATGGGGCACCAGCAAGACAAGGACCGCCCCCCCCCCCACCCCTTAGCAAAAAAGAGAGTGAGAGAGAGAAGAAGAGAAGAGAGGGAGGCTCAGTTTTGAGGAACTAATGCAAAATTTTGTAGTCAGAAAAATCTGGAAGGCAGAATTCTCATTTCAGTGTACATGTAAGCTCTGTGTGATTTTGAAAAATGCTGTTTTATGTTGATGTATTTTGGAGTCATCATCATAAGGTTTTTCCAGTTCTTGGGGCCTCTGAAGGTTTTAATATGGCCTTGATATGATTAACTGTAAAAATGAACATCCCCCTGCCTGGCCACTCTTCCTCAGCTTAGCTGAACTGCACTAAACTAAAGAAGGTTTCTTAGCTGCCGTGTTCCCCAAGCTCAGGGAAGTGGAGGTATCTCGTATTTGTGTCTGAAAAGAGCCAATGAAAGAGTTGCCAGAAATCCTTCTAGGACTGAAAACAATGGGGGTTGGGAGAGATTGGCAGTTGTTCTTAAATATGGCTTTAAATATGAGAAAGCGTTGTTCTAAAGCTCTCACACACCCGTATGTGTATGTGTTTATACATATATTTTACCCCCTTTTGAAGAAGTCTAGTGGATGTCCTTGTTCCTTTGCACTGGCTGTGACAGGTTGACTGCATTTCTCTTTGGGTTGTGTTTTCCTGTGGCTGTAGGGATGCAGTTTTATGAGAGCTTCTTCTCCCTGAATGGCCATCTGCCTCTTTCCAGGAGACCAATGGCCCGTGTCCATTAGGAACTGGCTCCGTCTTGTTAGGCGGGCTGTGGTGGGAGTGCAGCCTGCCTCCCGTCTCTAGAGTTCGGTTAACCTTCCAGCAGGACCCGTGAGTGATTCCTGCCCAGCCTGTAGCAGTCTTAGCTAGACAACCTTTCAAGTTTCCAAATCTTGCCATCATGTTGTAAAACTGTTACCAAGGAAGTCACCTGCCTGGATGTGGATGCCTCTCGAAGTCACTTCCTCCCGGGATCGAGTCCCTGCATGAGACTGTGATGAGAAAGTCCCACGGTCCTGGCGAATCTGATGCATTTTCCCTCAGTCAAATGGGTCTTTGCTTTCTTCCCTTCTTTCCCTCTTCTCTCTGGGCTCTCTTTGCATACTTTAAAAAAAAGTCGTTAATGTCTGAGTTTATGACAGAAAGGACTTGATTCCTTTTTTTGTTTCAAAGATTTGAGTTCTATTAAACATTCAAACAAAAACCTAATTTTAAAGGATCATTGATAGTTTGGTTTTTCATATTATTTAAGGTTCTTTTAGGAAGGATAGTGTGAATGTTTTTATATATGGCACATAGATTTCATATCATCATATTTTAGGTTTGAGTTTCCAAAATGAAAGGTAAAAATTTTAAGGTAATATTTAAGCTATACAGGTTTTCTTATTCCTAACTTTGATTTTTTTTAATAGAAAAAGGAGATTTATGGCCCTGTTTAAAGTAAATATTTTGAGAACAATGAAGATGTTAATATCAAGCAAGTTTGCTGGGTCGCTAATTATCATAAAGCTTACGTTTTGCCTTTGAAATCTCCCATTTTTTGACTGCCCATGGAACATTAGGAACATTGAAGCTGCATTCTGATGTTCTTTTCACTCACACAACCTCTTAAGTAACCTATTTCAGTGCTTCTCAAACTATCTGTAGTGAAAGACCAGTTTTTGTTTTTTAAATCTCCGATTGTTCAAAAACCAGTAAAAACAAATTACTAGGCAACTGAAATTTTAAAAAGACTTGCAAAATACAAGCCCAATTTTCTTTATTATTCATTTCAATAGACATAAAATTACTTTGTCAAACTTCTATTAAAGTTTCCAAACACTGTCAGTTTCCATGTTTTTATCTTCATGGGCTGGTACCCAGCAGCTGGTAAAGTGTCATCTGTCCTCAGACCACAGTTTGGGAGGGTCAGGTCTGGTAGAAGCTGTACAAAAATGTGTTCCTGTCACATAATGATTGTAGTCTATGCGACTAGAGGTTATTTCATGAGTGTAATTTCTGCTTTACATAAAATACCCATACTCCATCAAAGAATGACTGTTGAAAAAGATACAAAAGCTTTTTTCAGCTCTCGTTTGCACCCCCATATACTCAGTAATTCCTTCCCCTATTTTCCCCTGTGTAACACTTAGATGGTAAGATAGTGTAGTATTTAAAAGGCAGCATAACATTGAAACCAGGGTCTTTGAGCTTACCCGATCGTATGTGCATGGAGCAGTTGCAATGCGAAACAGAATTTCATAATTAGGAATAGCTATTGCTATAGATTGAATGTTTGTGTCCCCCCAAAATTCATATGTGAAAACCTACTGCCCAAGGTGATGGTATTAGGAGGTGGGGCCCTTGGGAGGTGATTAGGCCATGAGGACAGACCCTCATGAATGGGATTAGTGCCCTTATAAAAGGGGACCCCAGAGAGATCCCTGGGCCCTTTCCACCTTGTGAGGACATAGTGGCAAGACGGCTGTCTGCACCTGGAAGAGGACTTTCACCCGGACCCAGCCGTGCTGCCCCCTGGTCTCAGACTGCCCAGCCTCCAGCTCTGTGAGAATAAATGTCTGTTGTTTATCAGCTACCCAGTCTATGGTATGTCTGTCATAGCAGCCCAAATGGACTCGGACAGCTATGTTTAGAGTGAAAGTATTTAAAAATATGAACAGTGCAGATCTAGGGTAACTGAGCCAGTCGGGCCGAATAACAGCAGGATGATACCATTGGTTTTCTTTACAAATAGTCGCTGCCTTTGGTTTTACACAGATGGTAAAAATATTTTATCAAGATATTTGTCTCAATAAAGAAAAGCAGACCCTTTCTTTTCTTTTGGTGCCTAAGGTTTCCAGGCCTGAAGAAATAGAAGTCTGTGCATTCAGAAGAGCGCAAGGCCTTATGTGTAACAATTTTAGGAATATACCATAGAGATAATTACATTAAAGCTGAAGTCACAGAGATTATTCAAATTCTTCTTCATCTAAAAAAGAAAAATGAGTGTTTATTTGAACAGTGTTAACATTGAGATGAGGAAGCATCATTGAAAAAGAAGCCATATGTTCTTTGCTGTGTTGGTCCTTCACTTTCAGACTATTCATGAGGCAAGCCATCTTTTCTGCTTGCACATTCAGGAAGGGGTACATAAGAGGAAGGGTAAGGGCTTACCATCCAGGTCGTTTTTGCATGGTGATGTTGAGTGCTCTGTAATGTGCTAAGGCAGTGTATACAAATCCTGGCTTTTAAAGGGGGAGGAAGTCATTTGTTTCCCTGCCACCCTCACCTCTCGTGGTTTAGTTTAAAACTTTTCGTTTACCTTTTTGAGTTTATTTTTTTGCCTGTAGAACAGAAAATGATTGCTCGTTAAGAAAGAGATAAATGTGTTATGGTAGATAAATGGTAGACTTTGTGACTGATGTGTTTGTTATTGTATTGCTATCATTATCTGTTTATCTCAAAACGTTTACTTTTTATGGAAGTTTTATCAGTATTTTAGTGTGGCAACAAATCAACAGTGTGACTAAAAATAAGAGCTACCAGGCCAGCCCTCATGGCCTAGTGGTTAAAGTTAGACGTCCTCGACTTTGGGGCAGTCTGGGTTCGGTTCCCAGGCACAGAACCACACCACTCATCTGTCATAGCCATGCTATGGTGGCAGCTCACATAAAAAGAGGAAGATTGGCAACAGATGTTAGCTCAGGGAAAGTCTTTCCCAGCCAAAATAAAAAGAACTCTATGAGATAGAGTTAAAAAAAAAACAAAAAAACCACAAGTGCTACCACATCCATCTCTGGGAACAACCTCTTTTAATCATTCTTGCTAATTTCTTTTGCTAGTTTCCTCCATTATTACTAAAAATTATGGAGGTAACTCTGGATAATATGCTTAAATATCTGTTTCCAAATTTATCACCATTAGATAACTTCATAAAAGATGAGAATTAGCTAATTTATAATAGCCTCTTCCTTTCTTTCTTTTCTCAATCACTGATATCTGTGTTTTGGTTTATAGTTTATATTATTTTGGGATGTTCTGTTGGTTTTCATTGTGGGATTTGGGACTAAGAATTATTTTCCCTTAGAAGAGCATTGGTGCATTGCCTTCTAGTGTCCAGCGTTGGTGATGAGGAGTTAGATATGAGTTGGATTCTCATTTTTTTCTAGGTGACTTTGAGATGATCCCCTGGGAGCTTTTAGAATACTATTCCGTTTGTCCTTAGATGTTTGAAATTCAAGACGGTTTGACTAGGTTGGGATCTTTTTTCATTAATTGGGCTGTACACCCTGTAGTCTTTTCAGTCTGATGACATGGATCCATTTGTAGCTCTGGAAAATTTCCTTCTGTTATTTCCTTCCTTTCTCTGCTTCTCTGTCTGGATCTATCCTTGGTCACAGGTTGCACCTCAACATTTATGGAGTCCCTTCTTTCTGCCAGCAATTGTGACACTTTACAAGTAAACAGGAGCTAGGAATGCCTGGACAGAGCTTGCCCTTGAGAACTGCATCCATTCCTGAGGTGTTGTATAGAAACAGGGTCAAGAACACTTGTGTTCTTTTTAAAATATGGAACCCAGAAGGAACATACTAAAATGAACGGGCTTTATTTATAAGTTCTCTTATTGCTGTTTATCTTTTACTTGGTCACTTTTATTACTCACTGTTTATCTTTTGCTTAATAACTTTTGTTACCTTCAAATCTTTCTGGTAAAGACAAGTAGAATGTTTTTACTTTAGGAGCACTACTGAGCCTTAAATTTAGGCTGGTCATCTAAATGATTCAGCATGGGCACTGAAGGAAGAATATTCTGGGCACCACTCAGAGTTTCAATGCAAGCAAGAGAAACTGATATCACCTTAAAAAACACCAAAACCCTTTATTGGCAGAATCGAAGGAAGATGTGAACAATTAGGTGTCTAGAAGGCCGGGTAATAGGGCAGCTCTGGTCATTTCCGTGGCAGGAATGAACAGGCTGTCTCTTTAGAGTGCTGACATCAGAATGATTCTCCTCTAAACTTCCTGTTGGGAGAGTCTGCGTGATGTACAGGCTGCAAGGAGAGAAGCCATTGGTTTAGCTTGCTTCACCAGCTCACTTTTGGTAAGAGATGGGACCTCAATTGACATTTCACAATGAGCACAAAGAATGGTGGAGGGATAGTTCCCAAAGGAAAAACTGAGTTTTATCATAAAAAAATGTGGACTGAAAACAGCAAGTGTTGGGGTCGGCCTGGTGGTGTAGAGGTTAAGTTCACGCGCTCTGCTTTGGCGGCCCAGGATTTGCGGCTTCAGTCCTGGACACAGACCTACACACCACTCATCAACCCATATTGTGGCAGCATCCCATATACAAAATAGAGGAAGATTGGCACAGATGTTAGCTCAGGGACAGTCTTCCTCAAGCGGAAAAAAAAAGAGAGAGAGAGAAAGATTGTTCCTGAGCTAACATCTGTTGCCAGTCTTCCTCACCAAAAAAAAACAACAAACAAGCAAGTGTTCACTCTATTTTGTGCCAACAAGCCAATATTCAGTTCTAACCCACTGGTTCCTTTCTTATCCTAGTGCTGCCTCCTGTACTTGTGCCAAGACACAGCGAATATAACCCCCAGCTCAGCCTGCTGGCCAAGTTCCGCAGTGCCTCCCTCCACAGTGAGCCGCTCATGCCACACAACGCCACCTATCCGGACTCTTTCCAGCAGCCTCCGTGCTCTGCATTCCCTCCCTCACCTGGGCACGTGTTCTCTCAGTCCCCGTGCACAGCCAGCTACCCTCACTCCCCGGGAAGCCCTTCCGAGCCGGAGAGTCCCTATCAACACTCAGGTCAGTAAAAGCTGCTGGGGATGTGAAATATGACCTAAGGCAATTATTTATGGTGGGACCATCATCATTCCAATCACTGTAACTAACATTTATCTAGAGCTTTACAGTTCTCACAGGGATCTCCTGTGGGCCGTTGGGCCCTGCCCACCCTCAAAGATGATCCGGGCTATTCCCATTTGGAGCAGTTACCCTGGAGCAACAACATGTCTTTGCTCTGGTTTCTGGTCCTAATCGTCTGGAAGCTCAGAAACTGAATGGATTAGAGCAGCATCCCTGGGAATTTCCAGGGATTTTCTTTAAAAGGCAGTAGAAAGAAGATTATAAAATCCTTCTCTAACGCAAGCAGGAAGACTTGGCCTGAGGGCAGGCAGTGTGAGGGCTCAGCGCTTGGCCTTTCTCTGACTGCCTCTTTCCACAATTAAAGGGAGTCCCTGCCTGCAAAAGATGTCTGTGCAGCTTCAGGGGGCAGAGAGTGAGGCCCCAGCTCTAGCCGGGGGCATTCTCCCTTCTTGCTATGGGAAGCCAGCACAGTGTCTTGAAGACAGAGCTAGTCAGTAAGTATTTGCTGAACTGAAAAAGCATACGGAAGAGAGAGGGAATGTGCATGCCCCCATGTGAAAGGCAGAATGTGGGCTGAATGATGGCCTGGGCTGACAAGTTCCCAGAGGCATGCATTTGGTGCCGGATGTTGTGATCTGCCTCATTCATTTCCTCATACGTTCAGTTATTTAACAGATAGTTACTGAACTCTTACTATATGCAAGCATTGCCTTAGAGTGCTCAAAAGAGAATTAAAAGATTAGTAAAAATTGTCCCTGTCCTCAAAGAACTTATAAAATGTGGGAAAATAAAGGAGTTGCCTCCTCCCTTCCGAGTTATTCAGTTCTTCCCTTTCCCCCTCAGCAGCCCATCTCCTGTTTTACATATACATCTACCATTACATTTATCACACTATATTCTGTGATTCCTTTGGTGTCTACTTCCCACATTCAGCTGGCAGTTGTCTTCCCTTGTGTATGTCTAGTACAGAGCCTGAAAGGCAGTAGTTGCTCATTAGTTGATTACCGACTAAATGAATTACCACGTAGGCGTTTGGAACTAGGACTGGAGCGCAGGGTTGTAGATAGAGATTATATTGAGCCAGTAAGTCATGAGTGAGCACCTGCTAAGTGCCAGGCACTGTACTAGAGGTACAGCGATGATTGATTAGACAATGGTCTCTGACCTTCAGGAGGCAGTGACCATTGAGAACAATCGTGTAATGAGTAACAGAGTGTGGGGCGGGCTGTAGCAGTCCAGGCAAGTAATTCTAAGGACTTGGAGTAGAGAAAGGACGTGGGGATGGAAAGAAGGCAGTGAAGTTGAAGAGGTAGAATCAGTAGGACTTGATGTGGAGGGAAGGCTGAGGTTAGGAAGGAAGGCCAGGAGTCGTTCACACAGAGTGGAGGAGGTGGCTGAAGTCTTGCAAGTGGCTGGATTCCCTGAGAAAGGGACACAACACAAAGAGAAGTCATTTGAGGACAGAACCATGGCTAAAGAACAGGAGGATAATTACGTCACAAAATGTGTGTTTACATAAAACATATCTGTGCTATAAAGATTTCCTGTACTGACTTTGCATTCCTGCCCTGATTAAACTAACAGGTTGATTTTCTTTCCTCTTCCCACCTGGGAAGTAGAGACCCCAACATCTATGCAGAAGCTGGTTAGTTTCTCACAGAGGGAATAGCCTTTTAATTTGAAAGAAAATAATTCTTTTCTGAATGTTTAATGGCAAAATGCTGACCTGAATATCATATCCATAGATAAATAAGACTAAAAGGAACTTTGAGATTAACTGGTTCAGCTCCTTAAATTTTGTTAACAGCTTTATTGAGATATAATTCACGTGCTATACAGTTCACCCATTTAAAGTATGCAGTTCAGTGGTTTTTCATATATCACATAAAATTTGCCATTTTAACCATTTTTAAGTGTACAATCCAGTGGCATTAAATACATTGACAATGTTGTACAACCATCACCATTATCCATTTCCAAAACGTTTTCATCACCCCAAAGAGAAACTTACCTATTAAGCAATAGCTTCCCAATCCCCTTTTCCTCCAGCCCCTGGTAACCTCTAATCTACTTCCTGTCTCCATGAATTTGCCTATTCCAGGCACCTCATATAAATGGAATCCTATAATGTTTCGTCCTTTTGTTTCTGGCTTATTTCGCTTAGCATAGTGTTTTCATACTTCATCCTAGTTGTAGTATGTATCAGTTACTTCCTTTCTGTGACTGAACAATATTCCATTGTATGGATATGTCAAATTTTAAAAAATCCATTCATTGGTTGATGGATATTTGGGTTGTTTCCACCTTTTGGCTATTGTGAATAATGCTGCTATGAGCATTGGCATGCAAGTATCTGTTCAAGACCCTGCTTTTAGTTCCTGTGGGTGTGTACCCAGGAGTGGAACTGCTAGGTCATATGGTGAGTCTACGTTTAGCCCTTAAATTTTATATTTAAATTTACTCAAGGACCTGCAAAAGGATCACCTCACTTTATAACTTCTTCACCAGGGTCATAGTTCATTTTCTCACAAGGAAATCCTTATGCGTGGTTTTGCAGAGTGGTCCACGGACCACCTGCGTTAGAACCGCCAGCAGTGCCTGTTAAAATATACCTGGCTACATCCAACCGCTAAGCTATATCAGAATTTCTCCAGGTGAAGCCAGAAATCTGCATTTGTAACAGGTTCCACTGGCGATTTTTGTGTGTCCCTGTGTGTGAGATCTACTTGAATGGACAGTTCAGTTCAGCAAAGGCAGACTGACCCCACCTTCTATGCCATTGAACTCCACCGCTGATGTCACAGGACCATTCTGAACAGAGACTAGGAATGTATACAGAAGGAATCAGTTGTTCTGAGGTCCTCACTGAAGAGTTTTCCCTCTGCCTTGGGAGTTTGGATTGTTATGAATTAATTTCTAATGAGAAATTATCTACTCAATGCCTACCATTTCCCTCATCACTGTCCAATCACAGAACAGATATTTGGGGAGAAGAGCCCTTCTCAGCATGCCTTGAACACAAGGTTACAGTCAGGTTTCAGCTGTTTTGTGTTTGGGGGCATATTTTGAACTGTCTCAGAGACAGAGCATCCGTGTGGCCATTGTACAATCCATGGCAACAGAGAAACTGAAAATTAAGCTCGCTTCAAAGAAGGGTTAGCTTTCTCTGTTTTCAAAGCCAGATAACAGACTATTCTGCTATTAAGAAAAGCTAAGAGAATAGCCCTTAGATTTGAAACTCTTATCCTGAAGTCATTTGAACTCAATGATAACTCGTAAGTCGGAGGGAAAACTAATCAGCCCTTTAGTGAGGAGCTCAGGCCACCCGATTTCTCCTGTAGGACACGCCCAGTGTCAATACAGAATAGCCTTATTACATTACTGGTCTCTCTTTAGCAATAGCACTGTCCACCAAGCCCAGGAGTTTAATGGCAAAAAACGTTGTATCAAGCTGTCTTTGTGTAGCTTACCAGGTTGACATTCCTGTTTTACTGCTTTCTTTTCTTTGACACCCCACCCCCGCCTTATCATGCCGCAGAAGCCCCAGGGACCCAGAATGGCCAACCTGTAGATGCCACAGTTGATAGTCATTTAGTGCTGTCAATGCCTAATGGAGGTAAATTTGCAGATGAACAGCTAAAGGTAGCTATTTTCCGAGAGTATTTCCTATTACCCCCAAACAAAGCAAATCAAAGACCAAAACAAAACAAAATGTGCTGGCCTGCCATTTCCCGCGTGTGTTAAGGGGCAGATGGCGTGGCTTTGCGTTTTAACTTTGACATTCCTCAGTACTGTGGAGTGACTATTTTACTTATCACCCCGGTTACTGGAATAAATTCATTTCTTATTTTAACCTAACGTTTAGAAGTTGGTAGTTCTTGATGTGTTGTATGGAATTGGGTATTTAAGAAGTTAGTGATTTTATCCCACTGTGTCTCTACTACAGGTTGTAGTGGTATCTTTCATTTATCTTAGAGGGATGCATCTAGAAATATATGTAAGTAAGGTTTTACAAAATTTTATTTGTGTCTTATAATAGGCCAGATAGATGTTGCTCAATTTTAGTGTTCATACAAGCCACCTGGCCGTTCTTATAAGCGCAGATTTGATTCTCTAGATGTGAGGTGGGCTCCGAGGCTCGTCATTCCTATCACACTCCCAGGTGATGTAGGTTCTAGGAACCACGCTGAGCAGGGAGAGTCTAAAGGAGTTAACTATTTAAAGTATCCAAGAGTGAATTCTTGTATATTTGAAGGTCTTCTTGTAAGTCAAATAATCACCCCCTAATTTATCTGTTTCATAAGTTTATATTGTAGTGCATATAAGAACACACTCTAGATAAAAGAATTATGAGGATGTTCAAAGAAAAGAAAGATAATATAATGACTAGAAAGGCAGAGAGAGAATGTGAGTGGCAAAGAAAGACAGGACTCTGAGCTTTGGTTGGTTACTGACAACTTACTTAACTTGGAAAAATTTGAGGTAATAGTATACCATTCATGGATTTCCTATTGAAGTATACCGCTCTTGAAATATTTTTATGCTATAAATAATTATGTGTTCCATATGTACACAAAGGAGAATGTGAGTCTATATGGAAGTGTTTTTCCTTTCTTAAAGTCCTATCTGGTGTTTACAGTTTGGTGTTTATCATATCTAAACTATTATTTTTCATCTTTAGTTTGTTAGAAAAGGATGCTCTTGGCCACAGGGATTCAGTTTGGCACAGTAACAGTCGTCTGCTTTCTTTCATATGTAAAGACGAGGTGACCTGCCAACTTCCTTCTAGCTGTGTTTCCTTTGGGGTGATGAAGTTTGCATGGATCTGTTCATATTGTTGTTTGCCTGGCCCCCTCAGTACTAATGAATATGTTTACAAATGCTCTAACCGTGGGAGAGTCACGGGACCCTGGCCTTTGTGCCACAGGTACGTTACCCAGATGAGCTGATCACAAACGGCTTCCGTTAAAGTGATGGGTTTGAAAAGATTGCAAAGATTGCAAAGAGCGTCCTTGGTCTTGCAGCCAACATTCTAGTTAACAGCATCAATTTAAGTTTTCCGGTGGATCAGGAGATGGGAAGCCCAGGTGTGAGGGTAGTGATTCGCTGTCTGATCTATTTTCTTTCAGACTTTCGGCCAGTTTGCTACGAGGAGCCACAGCACTGGTGCTCGGTCGCCTACTATGAACTAAACAACCGAGTTGGGGAGACATTCCAGGCTTCCTCCCGAAGCGTGCTTATAGATGGATTCACAGACCCTTCAAATAACAGGAACAGATTCTGTCTTGGACTTCTTTCTAATGTCAACAGAAACTCAACAATAGAAAATACCAGGAGACACATAGGAAAGGGTAAAAACAAATGTGTAATTCCTTTATATATTCTTCTGAACTGAACGTGGAAGTAGGAACAAGCCGTGTATTGGCCACATAACGCAGTGGATGATCCCAGGGCTGGTGCGCTGGGAGACCGTCCTAGGGTTATCGTTGGAAAAAGTGCATGGGCCTTCAGGATCTTATTTTCTCTGCCTCCAAAGTTGGCATGGCATCTTCCGAGGGGTGGCATAGGGCGGGTATTATGGAGACAAACAAGTTGATGAGTATGAAAAACAGGATGAAATTGTTGAATGGAAGTATTATGAGTTATTTTTGAGTTGCCTAAAGATACTAAGTAGGATAACTTCCAAAGAAGAGGATTCTAGCTGGATGATTACTTAGATCAGGTAAAGTTACCTGTGGAGACTTAGAAGCTAGGTAGTTAAAAAGCATTACTTATTTATGTTTGGAAGCTTTTGGTAGGTGATTGGGGTTCTCCTGTCTGGGCTGTGTTCTTACAGCTGAACGGGCCCAGGCCTCACTGGGATCTGGCTGGCGATGCTTTTGGAGGCTCTCTCATCAGTGTGCTCGATGGTAACAATTCCCAGCAGAGTGGGAGGTGTCATGGAGGATCTTTAAATCATTTTCTTTTATATAGAATCACTGCTAGTGCCTGAGTGATCCCTGGTTGTCCACTGTTATGTCAGATTTCTCTGGAATCACAAGTGTCATTTGATCTTTTCTGTCCCCAGACAGCACTTAGACACCTCGGGAAGGTAGCCACAAGCCTTTTTTTTCCATTTCCTGGGGAGATTCATTATTTCACTTGGTGGTCCATTTTAATATTCTTCCTAACATACCTCCTAAATGTCTCCTGTTGTCATAAACCTACAAGCTATTGATTAGAAGCAGATTGAATCCATTCTTTGGTGTTGACTCTTAGTGGTGACAGTTACTTTATGTTTGTTCACATCCTGTATCTCTGCATCGTGGCTTTGAAGTAGCTTGCAAGAAACCTTTGCAGTGAAATGATAAATGAAAAATAGAAAATCAGAACCTGGAGGTGAGGGGTGGGGGAGAAGACGAATACAACTCTGTCATCCCTTAGGGTCAGCAGTGGGATTGGGATTGTGGTTCAAGTTTTGCTTTGGTTTTCCTGACTGGGAGGCCAGAAAAGGGAAACTCGGTCTGTGATGTAATCTTCATCCTGAAGGAGGAAACATAGCTGTTCCTCAAAGGAAATAATACTTTCACTTTAACTGACTTCTTAAACAAATTTCTCAGGTATGGTTTTACTTTCAGATGATTTTTAAAGAATCTTCAGGTGAAATCTAAAGGCAGAACATTAAAACACAGTGTTGTAGAGCTGTTTGCTGACAGGCTTTACAGACTGGTCTGTGTATTAGACTTCTGCTGTTGCCACTGGATCCAAAGATAGAATTAAAACATTAAGGAGTATTGAATACCTTCTGGGAGCCTTTCTGCAGGTAGTTGTTCGAGGTGCTGCTGATGTGGACATGGAGTTGGTGTTCTGTGTTATTGACTGAGAGCTAATCCACAGGATTAAGAAGCCCTAGGAGCAAGAGCCAGTACTGATGGCCTGTACAAAAACCAGAAAGCGTCAAGTGCTCACCTGGATAGAAGGCACTCCAGCCTCAGGTGGTCCCCAAGCCAAAGTCACAGTTTTCTCGGAAGACTGCTTTGGAACTGCTTTAATGTGAAACGTTTTTGTAAAGCCAGGCCACAAAACATGGCAGAAGAAAAATGTTGGCTTGGAATATTTTTAAAGCAAGAGCTGTGAGTCTTCTCTGAGGTTGGGGACTGTTTCTCAGGTGCTGCCCTGGATCGTCTGGTTCCCAGCAGCGGGGCTTCCTGGCGCTCCAGCCTGACTCAGTTTGCAGCAAAATGCCCTCCTAGATTAGTGAATAAGTTAGCTTGTTCCATGGAGTTAATTAATAGAGACATTTAGATTTTAGAGATGTGCATTCATCTCATAAATATTTATTGAGCACCTACTTTTAGCCAGACTGTTCTGCTCCTAGGGATAGAGCAGCGGGAAACAGTACAAACAAAAAAGCCATCAGGAAAAAAATCCTGCCTTCATGGACTATATGCTATTAAAGACAGACAGACAAGAAATGATATATATTTGTCAAATGATATGTGTCTAGAGAAAAACAAAGGAAGGGAAGAGAGTAGGGTGGTGCCATGTTATAATTTAGAACAGGGGAGCCTGGGAAGGCCTTCCTAAGAGGTGACATTGGAGCAGAGAGCTAACGAGGGAATCAGCTGTGTGGATGTCTGGGAGGAAAGCTTTCTAAGCAAAGGGAACAGTAGGTGCAAAGGCCCTGAAGCCTGCTTGGTATACTGTGAGGAACAGCATGGAAGCCAGTGTGAGTGGAACAGAATGAGCAAAGGGGTAAAGAAGTCTTGCAAGAGGAGGGGACAGGACCAGGTCGCCGGGGGCTTGGAGCCCTTTAGCATGTTTTAGCTTTGACTCTGTGAAATAGTAGGTTGGAGTTAAGATGAGTATACATGATCTGTTTTCACTTTAAAAGGATCCCCTGGCTGCTATATTCAGATTAGACTGTAGGGGGCAAGGGAGGACGGTAGCTACAAAGAAATAATTCTTTTTATTATAGTCAGTGATGAGCCATTTCTCCCCTCAGCAATTATCAGTTAGCTTTGAGGCCAGTTCTGGTTTGAGTTCCTTGCCACTAAAGCTAACTAAGATGGCTGGTCCTCTTGAGGGCCGTTTGTGCGGCCGCCCTGTGAGCAGTGCAGGTGCTTTGAGTTGTGTTTTCTCCGGTGGGGATGGCTTGTGCTGACTCACCTGTGCTCTCACCCTGCTTTGCATCCAGTGGGACACACTGTGCGGCGCCAGGGTTGGTACAAAGCATCAGTTTGCAGCCTCGCAACAATCAACTGCTGTAAAGGGAATTGAACCTTTTCCTTTGACCTCACTAACTAAACAAAGTACTTTAAATAGCCCTTGGCAAGTTATCTCTGGCATACCAGGGGCAACAGGTTAAGTATCAGAGGCCATACCTCGAAGAACCTGGAACGCTGCATTCTAATGTAAAGTCTATCCATATCTTCCTTGAAAACTGGGAAACCACTTGAACTCTTTTAAATGACTGACAACTACCCCCATTGATGACCTAATCCGTGTCAGGCACCCTGGCACGCACTTACCCATGTTGATTTTATAGTACCCTACACGCAAGGTTTTCTTAGGCCCATTTTGCAGATGAGACAGCTGCAGCTTAGAGAGTTCAGTAGCTCACCCACGGTCACACAAGGGATGCCAGGCATTTGCGCCCATGACTGTCTCAGGCCGGCTGCTCCCCTCAACTGGAGGGGAGGGACCCCCCTGCCTTTTTATCTTTGACCCTTCTTAGTGCCTTGTTTGTAGAACTGAATCTTTCGATGTGGGATGAAAATACCTATCATACGCTGCAGCTGTGATGTCATCATCAACTTGGAGATGTTGTAATAATTCCCTACTAATACTCAAATGATGGGCCCAAACCTTGCTTGTTCACCATATTATCCAGAGAGACTTAAAGTCTTCAAGTACAGATTTGGGGGACCAACCCTGCTACCAGGCCAGAGGCTGCTTTATGTGAATTAGGAGCCCCTTTCTCAAGAGAAGTTACTACCATCTGCTGGAGAAGTCTTGTAATAATTATGAGGCAACCTGGAGTTGTGCAGTGCACAACTGCAGGCACGGTCCTGTGGAGGGCCCATGTGCATCCTCTGAACCAAAGGCCTGGTGTAGATCTTTACTTTTATCTTATTATTTTTTGATCATCCATTAAAACATTTTTTATTTTGGAAAGTTTCGAACACACAAAAGTAGAGAGAGTGGTGTAATGAATCTTCATATTAACATGTCCACCTTCAATAATGAGTCACACCCTGTGCCATTCTTTTCCTCCATCCCTCTACAATATTTTTGCAAGAGTATTTTAAAGCAAATCTGACTTCACATCCTTTCTCCCATATATTTGAGTGTATACCAACTATGCAAGGAATTTCTGAAACTGCCGTTACTATACTCAGAAATATGCACTTTCTTAAAGCTCCAGATGATCCTGATAATCAGCCAGCTTTTAAGATAACTGTTCAGAAGAGAGGACAACAGTGGCCAGGAGAAGATCGATTACAAGCTCCAGGGAAGGTGTTGAGCTTGTGCTCGGAAGTTGAGTAAGGCATCAGAGGTCTCTGAGCAGGGCGGTGGGGTAATGAGATCTGCTTTCTGTGGTGGTATCTTCCCTCCCTCCCAGTCGAGAGGGGACCCATGCACATTCCTTCCACTTTGGGACACTGACTTTCTCTTCTGACTATTAGATTCCAGAGCATTGGAACCCTCTCACCAGCCTAACTCACCCATCCTCCTCCCAATCTTTCCTCCGTCATTTCTCTGTCACTCAAGACTACAGAAGAGGACTCAAAGGGAGCACACTTACAGTCTGACTCAGCAGACCCAAGTCAAACCCAAAGTGTCTCTGGTCCTAATTAACCGCAACACAGGACTCCAGACTCCCTAATCTCATAAAAGGTGGCTGCAACCACACACAAGTGGAAAGCTCAGATAAAGAAAGACGCCACCGTAGAAGAAATGTAGTCCAAGATGTGGGTTGAACTTGCTGGAGGACCACATTGCCTGGGTTCTCTTTGTCGTTTCAGGAAGCACTTTCTTTGGGCATTTGTCCTTCTTGCTCACTGCTCTCTTTGGCGATTTTGAATCTAGTACATGTGGTTTATAGCCACTATTCTGGCCTATCAAATGGATGCAAATCATTTGCCTACTTGACTCTTCTTTAGGTGCTGCTGTCTCGAGCTAAAACTGAGGCTCCTTCAGCTTGGGGTTGAGCTCCATCCTTGTCCTCTTGTTCAGAGCCGGCTCGGGCCTCCAGGCGCTCTTCCTGTTGGCTCTGCTCCCTCTTCTCACTCAGGATGCTAAACCACTGCCCGCCTGCCCAGGCTCTTCTCTGCTTTCCTTACTCTGCCAACATGTCTGTGGTTGCGGATAAGACTTTAACAGGATTGAAAATCATCCCCTAAATAAAGACCAGAGTCAGATAACAAAAATCTTATCTATTCTACTTAATGGGTTCTGGGAGGATTATATATTTGAAGGTCATTCAATTCAAACACATACTGAACGCTTAGCAGCCCCACTCTCTGCTCTCTTTTTAAACTCTCGTTTAAAAAAAGCCACCCCAGGGCCAGGCCTTCTCCCCGAAAGGTCACAGGGGTCTTTAGAGAAAGGCTGCTCTGATTTGCCCCTGCCTCACCTCCCGCAAGTCAGCCCAGCGAAGTAACTGTGTCCCAGCCGATTAGCACTGTCTTTCTGCCTACTGCTCATCGCCTGCGTCATGGGTGTCAGACCCAAGGCCGTTCAGGGAGAGTGAATAGTGGAGATGAGAAAGAAAGGGAGAGGAAGGCTGAGGAGAGGGGAGCCAGTCTGATCTGGGTGGTGAGAGGGGACCTTGGCCTGAATATCCAGAGCTGTGCTTTATCTTTGTGACTCTGGATCCGTTTCCTCAGAGTGACGTGGTTGGAATACGTCCTACTGAACAACGTTCTTTTCGAAAATTGTATTAAGGGAAAGGAGATTGGAAAAGGAAACAATAATTCTGGCGGGTGGTAGTCCCATTAAGTGCCCAATGGCCTCAAGTGCCCCTTAGAACCTGACGGAGAAGCTGAGCAGCTCTCTCATCATGTCTCCTAAACGCAGTTATGCGAACCGGGCCTGAGAACCCCTGCAGGTCTGTAAGTTCTATTATTTAAAAGTTTTGTATTTTCATTTTGAGGAGATCCAAAATATATCACTGTAAGTATATCAGGCTCATTTCTACAAACACCATGTCACTGCATGGTGACTGTTTCGACCCTATTGACATCTAGTGCTGGCGAATTTTGTTTCTGCTAAAAGGTTGGAGAAAAATTGGTCTGGTGTTTAATATTTGCTAGACTAGAACTTGTTTATTTTATCTAACCCCAGTCCCTTGCTATAAATTTATGCTTAATCTAAAACCCAGACGTTTAGAAGGAAAGACTCAAGTAAAATTTAATTTGGAATAAAAATTAGTGTGAGCAGCAGCGTGCTCAGGATGTTTTCTGCCTTTTGACTGCAAGAATGTGAGCTAAGAGAACGTGAGCCACATTTTGATTGGGAGTCTTTATATCCTAAACTGTGGCAAGAATTTCGTTGTTCATAAGTAAAAAATAGGCATTATTTCTGTGATCTATAATAGCAAGTGATAAGCTTTAAAATGAAATAGGTCTCTTTGAAGGATTTATTAAGAGAAATGGATTTCTAATTGTTGGTAAAATAAAATTTAAACTTCATTTCTTGTTCCCTCTGAAATGGGTGTAGTGGATGCACTTAAGTAACATTTTCCGTGATATTCTTTGTGCCCAATTTTTTTTTTTTTTATTTATCTATGGACCCAAAGGACTCTGTGATGTCTGCATTATGTATTTATTTTGTATCTGCTGTTATGGGCTCTGCCTTTTAGAACGCATCAGCGTGAGATGGAGAGTGATGGGGGTGGTATGTGAGAGCCTGCTTATTTGGTCTCGGCAATGATTGTAAACATGGGTTGCCGTCTGCTTTTGAATGGGTTTATGGAAAAAACACAGATTATCATTAAAGCCAGTGGGTACTTTGGTCACACATTTTACTAATCTGTAATCGGTGATATCAGAATGAACCTCACAGGAGACAGTCCCATCTCTAGAGGTGACAGAGGTCAGTGAGAAGGGAGCGGTGTTTCACCTGAAGTAAATACGGTGCTGGTGTTTGAAGGCTGTGTTTTTGCCCGTAGGCGTGCATTTGTACTATGTCGGGGGAGAGGTCTACGCCGAGTGCGTGAGTGACAGCAGCATCTTTGTACAGAGCCGGAACTGCAACTATCAGCACGGCTTCCACCCAGCCACTGTCTGCAAGATCCCCAGTGGCTGCAGCCTCAAGATCTTCAACAACCAGCTCTTTGCCCAGTTGCTGGCTCAGTCAGTCCACCATGGCTTTGAAGTCGTCTATGAGCTCACCAAGATGTGCACTATCCGGATGAGTTTTGTTAAGGTAAGGAGTGCTTGCTGCCAGATTACAAGATGGAAAGTGAAAAACAAAACAAAACCAAAAGCGCTCTTTGGTTGATATGGTAGTTATACAGCCAGTTCGAGTAGACAGCCTTTTTTTGGAACTGTATTTAATTGTTTTTAGGAAGAGCTCCTCTATGAGTATGACCTCTCTTTTTAAGCAATTATAAGAAGATTCTTAAGCATATTACTTTTGGAGGAAAAACAAGGTAAGGTAGTTATCTGATTTTTTTAAAGGCAAAAGATAAAGTGACAATAATTTTATAGAACTTAATGCTACAGAGATTTTTCCATCCCTCAAATTGCTGGGTACTATTGTCACTCAGTAAATGATGATGAATGTACCTGAATTAAATAAGACGTTCTCCGTACTCTTAGAAAGCATACAGGCAAACAGAGGAGATAATATTTATAAATAAGCTACAAAATAGACAGTACTGGCTCTAATTCAAGATAGTGTAAATTAAGTGCTGTATAAAGGCATGAACAAATTGGGATAGAAACATTAAGCTGAGTATGATTAATTCTGAGATAGCAGTAGATATTCTATTTATGAATATTTGATGAATTTCTCAAATTAGATTTTATTAAGGTTGATGTGAAGGTTGGAGAACCAACAAGTTATTTAGTGGGAAGGAAAAATAACTGGATTTTCACATTAAAGCTAAAGCCCTCTCTTTCACCATCTGCTGTTTCGGCTCTTGCAAAGCACTTACAAATAATTCTAATATTTCAAAATCTGAGCTTCTTTATCAAACTATTTGGGTACACGTGACACAGTTTCTGCATTGTCACATATCCATCCAAGGAATCAGTATGGCTTGTACTAGGTTTTTTTCAAAGTGAATTTTGTTAATCCTTTAAAGTTATCATAAAAAGTAATTGTCCTATGTTCTATACTCAAATTATACTTTATTGTATTTGTAATTCTAGTAATTATTTTAAAAATAAGAATCAAGACTATAGTTTCCAATTTAAAAAATGGCTTCTTGAAACCATTTCTATTTCATGATGACAAAGCAGTTTTATTCAAATTTACTGTTAAGTTTTAAAAGCATTTTTACATTGTAAAGCAATTAACAAATGCTTAGAAATCTTTTCAAACGTTCTGATGCTTTAGAGCCAGCAGAGGGCATTAAATTGCCATTAGTGAACAATCATTTGAATCATATGGTTATTCTTTCCAGGTCTCTGTTTTTAAAATTAGGATGAAATGCCAATACCCCAGAGGTAATTATTTCACTGTAACATAAGCTTACAAAGAAATCTGATTTTCCCAGGATCAACTAGATGTAGTTCTCAGATACGCAACATTTAAATTCATAAAGCTACACAATTCACAGAAAACAAACTGTTACTAATAGTACAGAAACTTTTAAAGAAAATAAATCCTTAGCAGATATAACTATAGATGATCAGTTTAAAAGAGATTTAGAAGTTCTCATCACAAGAAAAAAAACTGTAACCCAGTGAGGTGATGGATGTCAACTGAACTTACTGTGGTGGTGATTTTGCAGTATACACATATATCAAATCATTATGTTGTACAGTACACCTAAAAGCAATGCAATTCATATGTCAATTATATCTCAGTAAAACTGGAAAAAAATACAGTACAAATAAAAAGAATATAAAATATCTCAATAATTTCATATTGATTACATATTGATATAATATTTTGGGTATATTGGGTTAAATAAAACATTATTAGAATTTTAAAAAATTATGGATGACTAAACACTGGTGACTTCTACTGGGGGGTGATAGCCCAGATCATCTTTAAGGTCTCTTTCTGCTCTGATTTTTACTGGTTCCAGGACTCTTTCAGTCAGTCAACAAATAGTTATTGAGTGCCTACCATGTGCCAGGCACCATTCTAGGTGTTGGGACACATCAATGATGACTCAAAGATCTCTGCCCTCACGGCATCAATATTCTAGTAGGGAGAGATGGACAATAAACATCAGCTATGATAAAGAAGTTGAGTGGACAGAGAATGTAGAGCAGGGCGTGGAGAATTGGAGTGCTGGGGTAGAGGGAGGTTGCAAGTTTTAAAAGGTGGTCAGTGTAGGCCTCATTGAAAAGGTGACACATCAGCGAAGACTTGAAGAAGACATCGAGTTAGTCATAAACGTGTCTGGAGAAGAGCAATAGATGCAGATGGAAGGGCAAGCCTCACGGCAAGAGCATGCCTGGGAATTTGGAGGAGTGAGGAGGCCAGTGTGACTGGGGCGTGATGAGTGAGCCGGAGGTGAGGGTGATTGGAGCAGTAGCAGGGAACCAGATCCCAGTGCTCTGTAAGCCACTGCCGGGATTTTGGCTTTTCCTGTAGAGAGATGGGACGCCATTGTGGGGGTTTGAGCAGAGGATTTTCATGAACTGACTTAACGTTTTTAAAGGATCGCTCTGGCTGCTGTGTGGAGAACAGGTATGCTACAGACAGGGGTGGAAGTCGGGAGACCAGTCAGGAAGCTGTGGCAATATTCAGATGAGAGGTGAGGGTTGCTCCCACGAGGAGAGTTCCCGTAGAAGTTGTGAGAAGGAGAAGGATTCTGAATTGTGAAGGTGGATTTGATGCAGGATATGATAAAAAGAGAGGAGTTAGGTGACGTTGCCTTCAGCCGAGATGGAGATGATACAGGTAGATCAGGTTTAGATACAAGATTAAGAGTTCAGTTTGAGGGAAAATAACTTTGAGATGTCTAGTCACACGTCCAAGTGGGGATGCCGAGTAGGCAGTCTGGTCTGGATTTGGGGAGAGAGGGCTGTTGGGGATGTAAATTTAGGAATTGTCACTACAGGGACAGCTTTTAACTCCATGAGCCTGGATGAAATCACCAACAGTTTGAGTTTAAACAGAGAAGATAAGGGGTTCTAGGATGGAGCCCTGGGACATTTCAGCATTAAAAGATGGGGAAGAAGAGAGAACCAGCAAAGAAAACCGAGAAAGAGCAACTAGCGAAGTAGTAGTAAGAGCAAGAGAGGAGGGTGCTTTGTAGGTCATTGAGGAGGAGGGTGAACTGACTCAGATGCTGCCCGAGCGGCACGAAGACTGAGGGCGCTGTTCATTCTAGCGATTTAAAGGGTTTTTTTGATCTTGTTGAAGGCTAGGGTGAAATGCTACTTAGATTGGATTTAAGACAGAATGGAAGGAGAGGAATTGAGACAGCCAGACTGGGCAATTTTTTTTAGGATTTTTGCTAGAAAGGGGATCAAAAACATAGGGCAGTAACTGGTGGAGGTGGCAGGGCCAAGAGAAGTATTTTGAAGATGGGAAATATTTGAGTATGTTTGTATATTGATAAGGACGATCCAGGATAAAGCAAAAGATTGTAGGAGACAGTGGAGAGTTTGCTGGAACAAAGGCCCTGGGAAGGCGAGTGAGTCTTAATGCACAACGGGACGGACTGGCTTATGTGGAAACACAGAGAATTAATCTCTGGAAAGAGGTAGAAAGGCCGAGTCTGTGGGTGCAGGTGCTGTGGAAATTCTCTTCTGATGGCTTCATTTCTCTCACTAAAGTAACAAAGAAGATCATCTGTTGCAAGCAGGCTGTGGAGTAGGTGTTTGAGGTTTTAGGGGAGAGGAGTAGGAGTGAAGTCATTTGGGGCATGCAGCAGGGATCGGGGGTTGGGAGAACGAAGGGACTCGGGGAGTGTGGTACAATTGCCGGGGGGCATCAGAGGTCCTCTTGAGGTTCGTGGTCATCACTGTAAAGTGTGAGGAGGCAACATGGTTGTGTTGAAATCCAATTTTTAAAAAACTCTACAGAGAATCACTGTTGCCAGTAACAAAACTAATTTGCTTGACTGTGAGCCCTCTTTTTTTATTTTCCCCCGAGGAAGATTACCCCTGAGCTAACCACTGCTACTCCTCCTCTTTTTGCTGAGGAAGCGTGGCCCTGAGCTGACATCCGTGCCCATCTTCCTCTACTTTATACGTGGGACGCCTACCACAGTATAGCGTGCCAAGCGGTGCTGTGTCCACACCCGGGGTCCGAACCGGCAAACCCTGGGCCGCTGAGAAGCGGAACATGTGCACTTAACCTCTGCACCATGGGCCGGCCCCTGAGCCCTCTTTTAAAAATAACTTTTCATTGATGTATAACATATAGAGAAAAATACACCAATTAATTAATTAATTAATGTTTATACTCTCTCTCCTGTGAATGGTAATAAATAAGGAAAGGCCAGAGATGAACCAGAGAGAGAGAGAGAGAGAGAGATAGGAGAAACAAGCTTTGTTAGTCAACCCTGAATAATCAAGAGCACCCTCCAGTTCTCTCTTTACCACGTTCAAAGCCAGTCACAGGTCTGTAGAGAGTAATCATTTTGTGCAAAACATTGTCTTCAGCATGAAGGGGGTGAACATAAGGTCAAGTTTCTTCCCTTGTGGAAGGGAAAATGATATGCCAGTGTTTACAGCATGACTAGAGCCCAGGCCATCTCTAGGGCTGTGTATTTGGTTGTGAACCCAGAGGGCAGGGCTTGATTAGGCTGTCTGGTTGGTGTAAAAGCTGGCCTGTGCTTACGGGAAGGTAGAGGCCACACTCTCTCCCCCAGGTCTCTGGAGCTGCGCTGGGGCGTGGGCTCCGAGTCCACTGAGCTCTGTCTCATGCCTCTCGAAGCCGACTGTAAAGTCTGGCACAGTCACTCTTGGCTTCCACTCTTCCTTTCAGGGTTGGGGAGCCGAGTATCATCGCCAGGATGTCACGAGCACCCCCTGCTGGATTGAGATTCATCTTCACGGACCGCTGCAGTGGTTGGACAAAGTTCTGACTCAAATGGGCTCTCCACATAACCCGATTTCTTCAGTGTCGTAACAGTCAGGTCTCAGTCTACATTTCTATAGAATAGATGCTATTGCAGGCAGTGGCTTATATCATTTCAGATTTGCAACTAATTGAAGTTTTAAGTACACATGTAAATACATATAATATATACTATTCATATTTTTTGTCACCATTTGTTTTGTGCTTTCTGGTTAACCTGATGCCAGTGCAATGTGATTAGAAAAGCAGGTTTTTTTGTCCCTAGGCTATAAAAAGCAGCTTCTTTTGTGGGAGGAAACAAACAAAAGGCAACTGTATCAATAGTATTTGAAGGGCGTTGGCAGAATAAAAGGCAGCTTTAGTCAGCCATGTCATTGTATGGCATGTTGTGTGGCCACCAGAAAAATATTAAAACTGTTTATACGGCAAAAGTCAGGTACTAGCAGCACTAGAGCAAGTAACACTTTGAGACAAAACAAAGCAATCAAACCCATGTGATTTAAGTGATCTCACTTTTAGTGCTATTGGCAAGAAAAAAACCCAAGCTTATACAATCAATTATGTAAGATCGGACACATAAACTTTATTTTATTTCTGAAGTTGAAATACCTATAGCTGGACTATTGTGCTGATATTAAGGGTACATTTTAAACAAATTTTAACTGTGATTAGAAAAGAAAAAACTGTGAAGCTGAGAGTCCTGTTGCCTCATAATCTACTACTGTAAAGAAAAAAAATGAATCTAATATGGCAAGAAAAACATGAAAATAGCATGAACTGAGCTATATCCCTAAATTGCAAGGTAAGACCAGAACATAGTCCAAGAATCAACCAGGGAGACTCCTGTTTTCCACATAGGAAATCAGGTTCCTGTTTCCTGGTTATTTGTGTCGGGCAGTCCGTCAGACGTCCACGTCTGCATGGTGAGCTGTGAGGCCATGTGTGGTCCTGTGTGGAGAAGCAGCAGGTAGAATAAGAGAGTTGGACAAAAGCATCCTCTGTGTTTACTTATGCCTTCCCACATTCCCACAGTAAAAGCCTCTAGGTGAGGGCCCTCCTTTTGTCATATTTCCTTGCCTGTTAGAAAATTTTAACTATTTACAGATTACTAAAACAATGGTGAAGACTTTGAGAAAATCCCATTACTGGGGTCAAATTTATAAGTTATTTGACTCAGTGTCTCTGTTGATTAAATTATCTACTGGTCAAATCTAGTAGTCTCTTATAAAGCTAAAGTCTCATACTTGGAAATAACTTCCCAGGTAAAATGATAATAGTTTCATAATTCCTGTAATTTCTGGGGAACAGTGGTACTGAATGACAGGACACTTAAAAAAATACACAATATTAAAAACCTATTCTTATTTACCCTTGGGTGATAAAGAGAGGAAAATTCCCCAAATTTCTAGGTACTTTCATATATATAATTTCCACCCACTAAACACTGCATTGCTTGGAAAAATATTTCACACCCTCTTAAAAATGTATAATTTAAGAAGGTAATTATGCTTGTAACAGACGGTACTTCAGTAATCCAAGAGGTTTCTTCATTTATACATTCTGTCTCAACTCTTTCTAGCATTAGTGCACACGGTAGTTGTTTCTCATTAAATTGTATTCAAGGTAGAAATGATCATGTGACAAAGATATATGAGTGAGCTACTACTGTCACTGCTTGTAATGACTAGTATTATCTAATAGGAACTTTCATATATACAATAGAAAATAAATATTACATTTTACATTAAAACTAGGTGGCCCATTTAGTGTTAAGAAAACCCCGTAGTTTCTTGGTTCATCAACTATGTATTGTGCACCTGTATGTGCAGGTACCATGTTAAGTACTGTGGAATCAAGTATAAACAAGAGACAGTCCCTCTGGGGCTGAGAGTCTAATAGTAAATCTGTTTGTATGGACATCTTCATGTTTCAGAACTTGTAAAACAAAACACAACACACAGTTTTTGTTTTGCTTGAAAGAAAATGTGATTGATATCTTAATTATCTCTATTTCAAAACTCATTTCCCTTCTCTTCTGAGCAATCAGGTAATGGATGAAGATGTCTTTGGATAAATGCCACTTTTCTTCTATGTCTCAAAGTTGGTTTTTTTTCTCCCCTTGCTTCCCTGTTTTCCAATAATTCTCCATCTCCCTTTTTCTTGGGAAAGGCATTAATATGGTGAGTCTTCCTCATATGAGTATCATTCCATGAGAGAGTAGCAAGTACACATGGTTTCTGCTCCAGAGACCAAACCTGGCTTTCTTTTCTTTTCGTTTTTTTTTTTTTTTGCTGGGAAAGATTCACCCTGAGCTAACATCTGTTGCCAGTCTTCCACTCTCTCTTTTTTTTGTTCTCTTTCCCAAAGCCCCAGTACATGGTTATATATTCTCATTGTAAGTCCTTCTAGTTCTTCTGTGTGAGCTGCTGCCACAGCATGGCTGCTGACAGATGAGTGGTGTGGTTCTGCGTCCAGGAGGCGAACCTGGGCCACTGAAGCAGAGGGCGCCGAACTTTAACTGCTGGGCCATCAGGGATCGCTCCAAACATGGCTTTCTTGATCAAACTCACCCTCTGGTGATCTTATACCTTTACAGAATTAATCAGAACTGGTTGCTTACACATGACATTAAAAAAACCAAATCTTGAATTTTCATGCAGCTTTGGGAAACCAGGACAAAATTATTCCAGTGAACCTGAATTATTTCTTCAAAAATAAATGATTAAAGTGGTACATATGCATCATCACCAGTCATGTCTCACCAAAAGCCGTCATTAGGATATATGTGAAATTCAGAGAATTTAGAATTGATGAGAAATTAACCCTTCAGTCATTGTAACACAGTCACATTTTAATCAGCCTTTTTTTATTTTTGCTGGCAAGAATTGTCCAATGTTGTACTGCAGTATTTGATTTCAGACTTCTAAATGTGCTCATTTAGCATTCATTCCTTGAGGTAGACAATCTGAAAAATGTAATAGCATTTTTTTTACAGCAAAGTGAACATACTAAGCCATTAAATGCATCAGCAATGCCAAACATGTCTAAGGTTGCCATGGACAAGGGTTGTGCAATAGAGAATAATAACATTTTGGCCTGCTCACAAGACCCAGAACACTTATCCTGTTGTTCAAGCCTGTTTTCTGGTTTTTTTCCTGTTAAAAAATGGAGATGTGGAAAGTTTGTTTTACTTAGATGGTATTTTAATATCTGCCAGTGCTTTGGAACTATAAAGATGTCACTGTTCAACACATTCACTTTATGTTGTGTTATGTTTTTTTTTTTTTACACTCAGTGTAAATCAGGAAACGGGCAACAACCTAGCATTTAGAATCCCTTTTCATTGTCTTCCAAGGAACTGAATACCCCCATGACAACAGCAAAAGCATTTTACACAGATCGCTTGCTAGGCTTTAAGCGCCTGCTTAACTTTGAATGTGTCCTGAATATTTGGTATATGTATTCAGTAAATAAAGCAAAATGTAACAAGCATTCCAAATTTTGTCTTTTCCTCTTATGATTTAACAGCTGAACTGTATGACAAGATTAGGTGATGCTAGCATATGTTAAGGATAAGTTCAAATTAATGTCAAACAAACCAACAAAAAAAGAAACCATTTCTTTTTAAGTAATGCTTTTGATTATAATATCTGGGCTTCAGCCATCCTTCAGATGCACACCTATACTGTTATCTGATTGTTTATAATAAAGAATACTGTACCTATATGTCTTTTGGCTTATTTTTCCCTACGCACCTCATAGAAGGATTCACTGCATATGAGTCCTTAAGATGATCTTAAACCATCCTATTTTGAAAATGTGATGTTCTTAAAAACCAACATGATATGCATAGAGGCTTTTTTTCTGAACAGTAGGAAATATTAAGTGATATTGCAGTATATAGGAAAGAACGAACCATTTTATTATTGTAAACATCTGTATGTTGTTGTATATTACCTATCAAAAAGGTGCTAACGAAGGCTGGTGAAGAAAAACTAAGATGAAATCCAGGAGGAATGTGAACATCTCTGAAAATGTAAATTCTCAGTTCCCTCCATTAAAGTTTCTTTCCAGTCTTAAAATGGAGGGAGAAAAATATGCAAATATTTCAAGAAAATTTAGCCTTCCTATTACCTTGATCCAGGTTTTCCTTTTTAATGTTTTTTGGAAATGGAAACCTTTATTCAAAAGAAATATTTTGTGGAATTCCAAAATATAAGCAAATGAAAGACAAGCTATTTGAATTATAGGTGGGGATCATGAAACCTCCAGTTTAAGCTGTGAGTTTTTGGCTAGCGGTGATTGTGCTTGTTTGTTCTTGCCCCTCCCATGGTTCGCCACCCTGTTCTTGCATCTAATATCTGGTATTGGCATTTCAAACACTAACTAGTACAGATTTTTTAATATATCACGGTATGGGCATAAAATATTGTCTTTAAACATTAGCCCATATTAGAGAAGGAATATTTTCATCAATCCAGAAACTTCCACATATTCATTTATCAGATGGTTCTCATGCATCAGCTACCTTCAGGCAGTCACTGTAGATCGAATGCCAACACAGTTCCTGCCTTAAAGGGATTACCAGGTTGTAGTGGAAGAGGAACAAGTAAACCAATAAAGATCAGTGGCTATCAGTTATGACAGGCTGCGGGGGACCAAGCAGTGACATCTCCATCAGGCCCTGGGTGGGTTCCTGGGGAGGCTTCTGGGCTGGTCCCACTTGCCTTCCTTCCCGTCAGTTCCCTTAGCAAGTCATCCCAGACATTCCTAAGCCAGGTCAGGTGCCTGTTTTCTGTGCTCCCATCATAATTTGGGGTCATCAATGGTCAGTTTTCAGTTCCTGCATCACATTGTTTATTTGTCTCTACCAGGCTGGGAGCTCTTTAAGGGCAAGGATTGTATCTATTCATGTCCAGCATTTTCCAGCTATTGTTTAAAAAGACATTTGGGGTTTACATCGAAAAGGCAGAAATGCTATTTGTTTCCAATTCTCCTTTTTAAAAATCAGCGAGTATTTAATTTCTCCCCTTCTAAATAAAAATAATGGCAAGCCTCTAAGTGCCTGTCCAGTGACCATGCTGCAGCTGGTGGGGATGAGGGAAGGATGCTCATGGTTTAGTTTGGAAATAGATATTCAGCTGCACAGCAGTAGCAAAGAAAGGTAACTTTGACAGTTAAGCAGTTAAAATTGCTTTTAGTCTAAGCACTTAATTTATTTCCAAAATGTGAATTTGAGTAGAGATAAGAAGCACAAGGAATTCTGGTGTTGCAGCACCAAGTTAACAAGGAGGATGAAAAAGACGCCAATTCTGAAAGTTTCTCTCTGCGTGATCGTTGATGGTTCCGTTATTTGTATGCATCTGATAATGTTAGGTATGGCCTCAGAATTAGTCCAGTAGTCTGAAAAACGATGTTAAATAGAGTAAATATAATGAAAATTATACTCAGTTTGGCTCTTAAGCCAAAAATTACTCACACCTGCGACATGTTATTTGGTGGTAATTCTTGCAAGTGGCAGGCTAACTTCTCTCTAATATCATTATTTAGAAAGAAAAAACTCTGAAAATTCTAAAAATAACCCACTGAGGTTTAATGAAGAGATGTCTGTGGAGAGAGGTACAGTAGCAGGGGTCAGAAGACTTTTTCTATGAAGGGCCGGATAGAAAATATTTTTACCTGTGTAAGCCATGTGGCCTTTGTTGACTGTTGCAAGTGCTCAACTCTCTCATTGCAGAGCACAAGCAGCCATAAGCACTGTGTCAGCGGATGAGCCTGGCCATGTGTCCATAAAAGGTTACAGACACCAAAATTTGAATTTCATGTAATTTGCACGTGTCACAAAAAATTTTTCTTTTGATTTTTTCCCCCAGCCATTTAAAGAGGTAAGAACTATTCCTAGCCTGCAGCAGTAGAGAGCAGACTGTTGGTCGGATTTGGCCTGGGGTTGGGTGTCCTAGTTTGCCAACCCTCTGGAGGATGAGAGGCCATCTCGAACATTCCAGTCATAGCCACGCTCCCATCTGAATGCAGCCTCGTGGGACACCCCAAGCCTGACCACCAGAACCCCTCAGCTAAGTTCAGCCAACCCACAACACTTTGAGCCAAGAAAGTAAAAGGTGGTTATTTGAAGCCACTATACTTTGGGGTGGTGTGATAGACAACTGAAACAGTGGTCCTAACCATCATCCACGCGTTTGGAATGTTGATGAAACTTTGTTCATCAAGAGGCCTCAGCAAATCACTTCTTGTTACAAAGGGCAGGCATGCCTGTGTGAGAGCACCTGCGATGTATCATATGGCTGCCACCCTGGTCCTGATCAGTCTCCTGGCTCGATGTGCTTTGCCAGTATGTCAGCTGTTTAAGACATCTCTGTTCAAAATACTTACTTCCCTCTCCCAGCGTATGTGGGAAGGCTTGCCATTTTGGTTGCTAGAAATAAAACAATCAATTCTCGCCTCCTATTATTAACACCAGAGGTGAGCTATTACATTGCCCAGCAAGTGTACAGTGCAGGCAGTAAGGCAGTACCAGCCTCTGAGGACACTGCTGGTCTGGCCTCTGCAGCACTTGGCACAGTTACTGCACTGAGCCCAGTTCTGGCCTTAGTTTGCAGCTCGAGAAGAGTTCACGGCCCAGTGCTCTCCTGGTCAGAAAGCACTCAGGCTGCCTCTCCAAACAGGGCACTTGAGCGTTGCTCTGTGTGTCTCAGTTTTAAGTTCTTGTTGCCCTTTGGAATGGGTAACGCCTGGCTTGGGCAGGGGCTGCAGTCACTTTCCAGTTGCTAACCAAGCAGGAAGTGTTCAAGAAAGTGAGACATTAGATGGACTGTGTGTCTCATTTAAAGGTAGCAAGTGTCTGGGACCAGTGAGCAGAGGGCAATTTTGATTGTTGCTGGCTCTAAAGGAGAGAATAAGAAATAGAAGAGACACAGGAAACATGGGAACACATTGTTTGGACACAAGGAAGAGAGAAGGGTACCCAGGTGAGAGAGGATGCTTGGCTTTTCTTGCACAGGCATCTCCCTGGCAAGAAGAGTCCACCTACTAGCACAGAAGTCATGGAGGCTTTGCAAGTACCGTAGGAGCCTGCGAACAAGGCTCTCTGGGCACTGTCCTGCTAAAAGCAAACCTGAGCTCCCACACTAGCAGACAACTTTTTGTGATCTTAGAAAAATATTGACCTAAGACTCAGATTCCCTCATTTTTTGAAAGGAAATAATGCTGTCACAATTACCCGCACCATCCCCCCCACAGATGATTCTAATCAACATGATGACTTGCAGGTATATCTGTGTATTTTAACATGATATAA